ATCCTATAACGATAACTTATTATAAGTTCTTGGTGCAAAAGCCAGCAAAAAAATGCTCTATTCAATTTTTTATGATTATATTTAATTAGTTTCCGATTTGTGAACATAGTTTATTAAGTTGCCTAACATTTGATGTAAATACACACCCCATTAATAAATATAAATTATAATTTTTTCATAAATTAAGCGATTAAATTAACATTTTGAACTGAATATTTCAGGAATTATTCATACAATTTTTAACAAAATTTCGGTTGTCCTCTATATAGCACAAGTACTTATCCTAGAGTCATGTAAAATCATATTTCATACATTACTGTTCATTCACTGGAAGTATTCCCAGTGAAGGAACATGCCTGTTTCTTCACTGGTTAGAAGATGTTTTTTGTCTTTGAAACAGAATTTTAATGTATAATATGAGTAAAAGTACAAGAAAATTAAAAAATTTATTTTATTTTCATTAATTGGGAAAAGAAATTAGTAAAGAAACACTTGTTCCTTCACTGTTTTTTCATCGTTTGGTGATCCAGTGAAGGAACATGCTTGTTCCTTCACTGGTTAGAAGTTGTTTTTTGTCTTTTAAGCAGAATTTTGATGTATAATGTGACTAAAAGTACAAGAAAATTCAAAAATTTATTTTATTTTCATTAATTGGGAAAAAAAACAGTAAAGGAACACTTGTTCCTTCACTGGATTTTCATCGTTTGGTGATCCAGTGAATAAACACCCCTTATCTCAGTACTTGATTATGCTATGGTGCTTTAAAAAAAATAAAACGTAACTTCAATAACTATATTTTAAATTCTCTTTTTCACAGTGAGAAAAATAAGACTATTACATGCAATTAATTCCACTTCAAACATGTAAATGAAAACACTCACCTTATAATTTTTTCAAAGAAACAAGGTGTTGCAGAGATAATAACAAATTCAAAAATTTTTCCAGAGAAGTCTATTTGACCAGGTAGTCCAAAACATTGCTAGATGACTTCCTATTGTTTGTCAGTAAGCTATTGTTACCAATCAATCTAAAGAAAAACTTTCAAATTCTTATTTTTAATCAATATATATGAAATGTTCCTTCACTGGGTAGTGTTCCTTCACTGGTTGGTTTACCCTATTTAGTTTCGTAGTATTTTCATTAAAATAGTTCGGTAGACGATTATCATGATTGCAATTGTTAAATCTAATATCTCCATTCGATATTCGTTTATTTTAGAATTCTGAATGGATGTGTAAAAACATTTTATTCCGAAATAAAATATCAAAAGAAAACTATGTCTTGTTAATGTTTTTTTATTCTTTCAATTAAGTCTTTGTTATTAAGCATAACATAGCTGCCAACATAGAAAGGAAAAATCCAGTCGTTTTTGAGAAATAATATAAATTTCTTGACAACTACTGCATAATATACTAAATATTTTACAAATAGGGAATTTTAGAGACTTATATTCACATCAAAATACAATAACAACTATAAATGGTCTGTAGTATATTCCATTTATGATTGACATTAAATGAATTCAAATTAGAAATATTTTTTATTCGATATTATATTATATTTTTTCGATATTTTTTAATATCTGCTGAAAAAAGATTAAGAGAAACAGCAATGTTTGGAGTACCAGTTAAATGCATAACGGGCAGTGCTGACTTTAAAAAAGCATTGATGCAGAGTATATCGGGCAGTGGAACTGAACCTTAAAAAACATCAGTGTTGGGTATACCTGGCTGTGGCACTTAACTAGACCTGGTATATATTTAAGACATTTACCAAAGCGACTTTGAGATTATCAACATTCACCAGTGAAAATCACCAATTTCGGTCATTAACAGTAACATTTACATTACAACATTTAAATAAGCGAATTGTTAAAGAACTCACCTTCTACGTGAATTTTTCAATACAAATTGATGGATTCTGAAGGATTAAAATTTTGAAAGGAGACAATAGGGTATTTTATTGAAAATTCTGTTTTCTGGAGTATCTTTCTACATTGATTTACTTTTATCAATAAACGATTTTTTAAAAAATATATATTTGGGAAAAATTTGCCGGTAGTTTAAGTCGCCACGGGCAAGTGGTTACTTTCAGGTCTAGTAGAAATATGAAGAACTGCAAGACGATACCTTGTCTTGCAGTCTTGTTATATGGGCGATTCTCACGAAATATGATAATTCACTGTCTCTTGCTCCAAGATCTAATACTATAATACTAAAAGAACTTTTTTTTTTTAAAAAAATTAATAAATAGCATTACTGTTAGTATTTTAAAATGGCTTTGCACTAGCATTGACTGTTTTGTATACTTAAAAAATTTGATAGATAAAAATTTAATAGTTAAAAAATTTCATGTTTCTGGCATGTCACAAACAATGTTTCCAATAATAACTAGCTTCAAAACTTCCCATAAATGTTTCATCATCTAATTTTTTTATCTCAACCGGTGTAAGAATTTCTAGAATATACGCAGAGGGTATTATTTACAAAAACTTCGTTTAAAATAATTTTTTCTGTCAATAATTTGTTTGTCCCAAGAAAATCTGTCATTTTCCTGGCTACTTTTATTTAGTAGTTTATAACTAAAATAGATAAGAGCTAGCAATCAATATCTTATGTTAATAGATTGATTAGATACCCTCCAATATGAAAATGTCTTGTTGAATAAATAAAGAACCAATTTTCTGGTTCAAAATCTATTTCAAAAAATTTTTCAAGGTGAGTAGGTTTTTGTGTTGTCATTTTCCTAGCTTCTTGAAATCATTAATAATATAAACTACATAGATTTATTTGAGCTATTTTAAGAAATCCTGTTGTTTTCTGCAGAATATAAACGTCTTAGGCCAAAATATTAAATGAAAGTAAAGTTATATGCAATAAAATGGCGAATTTGTCATTATCCTGGCTGTCATTTTCCAGGCTTATGAATGCCAGGACATTGAAGTGTTACCAGAAATTTTTTTAACTGCTAATACTGTAAGGAGGGAAAGCAAATATTAACCTAATACCAAGTTTATGTATGATTGTAATATGCTTGGATGCAATCAAAGTTGTTTATTTATTTAATTATTGATTATTATACACAATTTTATTCTGTACATATCAGCAACAAAAATTTTTTGATTCTTTCTACAGAGGATAAAAAGAATTAATTTAAGCAATTTTGGTCCATCTAACATAAAGGCTTAAGTTGAGTTACTTACTATTAACTTAAAATGACTGTTTTATAAGCTTTTCAGCTAATATGTCATTTTCCTGGCATTCAAGGATTTGGTAAATTTCTATTTTTTTTTTCGAGCAAATGTCAATAAACTACACTGCTGTCTATAAGATATTAATAAGTGTTACTAAAGAAGTATATGAAAAAAAAAATTTAGATTATTTTGAAGACTTTAAATTTGAAGGAATTTTTTTATCCGAATTGTCATGCTTAAAAAGAATCACCCATATATCAGGCTGTACAAGATCATCAATTTAACTTTTGTACATCAAACTTTCTCATTATACTTAAATAGACTGTCACAAAAGCATTGTTGCTTCTGTTGGGTGGATAATGCCGTCTATATAAAACAATGGTTGAAGATATCAGCTGCACTTACTCAATATTTCTGGTTAAGTCTAGACAAAGCTAATCATTTTTAAATGGGATATTTGCTTTAAAATAAAAATTGTGATTTATCTCGTTCAAAAATCATTAGTGTCTTTCATTTTAGCTATCTGAAATGACAGAGCTTAAAACCTAATATCCATACATTTTCATGAAATAGGGATGCTCTTACTTATCACTTCGGCGTCTTTATTTCTGCATTACCGTAATAAAATCAGTGAATACATTTGAAGTGATAAGAAAATTTAAAACATATAGCATTGTTTTATTTGAAAATAATAATTGTAGTGTGTTGAATAATTTCAAGTCTATGATACCGCTCTTTCGAATATAAAATGCAATTAGCTTATTCTAAGCCTGTTAATAAAGCTTAATATATATCCTGAATATGCTATAACACATCATGCGTGCAAATCAATTGACAGATCCTTATTCCAAAAGGAAATAACCCAAAGATATGCTAAAAATAACGCTCTCACAATACTTAAATATCATTTAAGTTAAATTCCTAAACATGATTTCATTTTCATTCATTTATGTACCACATAACTAGTATAACTAGTCAAGTTTAAACTATCAATACTTGCAGTTTTAACTAGCATTATTAACTGAAATAACAAAATGCTGAATCGAAAATCAAAAACTTTCCATTCTTCAAATTGATAATTTAAAATCTGCATTTGTATTCCTAGGAAATGAGATCTTCTGAACATGCACAAGAACTCCAGGGCAAAATATTTTCCCTCAAAGAAAATCAGTGCAACGAATATTGTCATATACATTGTGTGAATATTCAGCTAAATTCACTTATTATTTTCTTTTTAAAAGAAACTGCAACTTTTACGTTAATACTAATTTTTCTCATCTTATTTTAAAATGAATACATATTCAGCTAATTTTTGCTGCCAAACAGAGGGCTGACAAACAATAGACTTTATTGTTCTGTATTACAAAAAGAACAAAAGTGGATTTGGCTCAATATGGTATTTATACATCATATCAATCTCATAGTCAAGATTTTTATTTTTAGGACTCTTGTGCTGAATACTTAGTAATGTTTATAAATATACTCAGCACTTTAATAATAAACATATCGTAGTAATATTTGTTCAATAAAAAAGAATTTTAAAATTGAGATTAAAAAATTGGTGTTCTTGGTTTAAATGTATTTCGTGCTATTTTTTTTTTTTTTTTAATGTCAATGTTTGCAAGCTATAGTGTTATTTAATCATCAACATACATCCTTCTAAGTATAATTAACAGATAAATATATTTTAGTTATAGAATAGTTTAATAGACTAATCTGATGATTAAAAGTGCTCTGTTAAAAATAAAATTTATACTTCATTTAATATCCTAATGATAACAATATTGAGAAACATTAAACACAGAAGCCAAGAAAAATATGAAACATTTATTTAATTACAATGAACACAATGTTATAATAAATAAAATTAAAATTTAATGAGCATGTGTTACATACCCCAAAGAAATTAAGATTTGACGGGAAAAAAATTTTAAAATCAAACTTTCTCTCAGTTTTGTTTAAAAAAGCAGGAACATTATTTTATTATACAAACATATTAAAAGTTAAATTACTTTGAAATTTTAAATACTTATTATTATAAAAACATCTCAAAATATCAGTTTTACAAAACATTGTTTGCAATTAGTAGATTTTATTTGAAAGATTTAACCTTTTAAAAATGAACAATCACAAGCCTTTCATCCTTTTAATTTCCGACATTTAACTATTGTATCCTGCCACGACACATGTGGAATTTAAATTTATATAAAAAATTAATGAAGTTATGTATGTAATGTAAATTATATTATATAGATAATACTATATAAATTACATATTTATTTACATAATAATATATATAATTCAAATATCATAAGCTTTTAGATATGATTTTATTAACAGTTTCTTGCAAATACCATAAATGATAGTTGTCTATAAGGATCATAGAGGTTAACACTTCACAATTTCAAGACCAACAATTGGTGATGGCTATTTTAGCATAGGCATTGCACACCAGCTACTTTGTGTTCATTTGGGGGTAAAAATATGCAATAAATTATATAATTTGAGTTATAAGTGTGTTACAATATGCTTATTATTCAAAAGTAATTAGAACAACATACAAATAATGAAAATAACTAAAAAATTGAACAAATTTAGCATGAATTGGTTCATTATATATAATGATAGCCAAGCTTAAAATCATGGTTTAGAATTACCTAATTCAAATCTCTATGAGGTTATCAATATTGAACATGTTAGAGGTGAGTCCATTGTAGAAAATGTTAGAGCATACTCTAAAATTTAAGAATGCTGTTAACATTTACATCATACAATAAAAGAATAATCATTTCTTTTTAACAATGTTATACTAGGAAAGCCACTTTAGTGTTAAAAATGTGAAGTTACCAATATAGAACATGTTAGAGGTCAGTTCATCATAGAAAATGCTAGAGCATATTCCAACAATGCAATTAACATTTACATCATCCACTAAAAGAATAATCACCCTTTTTTTTAACAATGTTATATGAGGAAAGTCACTTTAGCGTTAAAAAATGGCACATTAATCTAAGAAGCAAAAGTTAGGAAACTAAAAATTTAACTAAATTAACTGTTCATAAATTCGCATTTCAGGATTTAAAAATGAGCTGATTGATGTTTGTTAACACCTTAAATAGAATCAGCGTAAGCAAAGTTTCATCAACAAATAAAAATCTGTCATCAAATTCAGTTTTAAATCATCCAGACTTTTGAAAATCATTTGTTCTCCCTATTGTATCAAAATTATTTATTTTTGATTATGACTAATTTGCTTACATACAGACAAACCTCTATTAAACGAGCTCCACAAAAAAAAGTTGGTTTTAAGAAAAATTTGTTAAAAATAAAACAGCACAAAACAGATTTAAAATTCATAAACATAATTAATAAAGTACACTTTTAATTTGTAAATTAATATATATTACTTCTGTATATTACAACCACCAAGAAACTTTTTATAAATAGAATAAAGTTAGCACTTTCTGGATAAAATACAAAGAATGACAGAGATTTTACTGCTCTCAATTAGTTAAGTTTCTGGTAAAATCAATTAAAGATTTACCATAAAATGTGTTAAATGTCAAGCAATCAGAAATATTTCGCTTAAAATAAATAATGGATGACAAAGGAAAGTTCATTTAATAACGAATTCATTTCTCTATTTAGAAATTATTTTACGAAGAAATTCTCAAAATGTGCTTGATTCCTAACAAAAGTTAAAAGTTACTTTTAGTTTAATAACCATTCAACTCTTTTTTAAAAAAGCAGAAGCATGTCAAAAGAGTAAAAGCATTGAAAAGTCAAAGCCTTTTCTGATATAAATTATTCAAAGATAAGTAGATGTAATACATCATTTAACAACAAAGGAAGGAAAATATAATTAAAACAACAATAATATATACCTTGTGTAAAGAAGAACATAACAGATAAAAAAAAACTAATTTTTAATATTTTACTACTGAAGTTGAGGAATTAATGCAGAGACTTTAAATACTTTTTTTTATTGATCAGCTGAGCTGAGATATTTGGGCACAAAACACTCTTATTATCGTTGTAATTTTAAATTATATTTAGAACAAATAAATAATTGTGAAATGAGTATATGATATTAACAGACAAGCAGATGCTTGTAAAATTGCCTAGTAATCAATAAGACATAAAAAAATAATCAAAGTGAAAGTTTTACTTTCTTTATAATATCAATCCAAATATCAAAATATTAATACATCTATTAATATGCTGATATTTAGATTAATATTTAGATTGATATTATAAAAAAAGCATAACTTTCACTTTGATTATTTTTTATATCTAAACATCATGCTTAATGTTTTTTCTCACAAATTATAAATGGAAAGCTTCAGGCATAATAATAATAAGCCATATTTTCAAAAGAGAGAGAGTAAGTGAAAAAAAAAATTTTCATGACTATAATTTGATAGGATTCCTTCTTTGAGACAAAGGCACTGATTGTGTATCAGTGTCTCGGTATGTGAGAATATATTTTTGAGCTTCTATATAGCGCAAATTTAGAAAATTTATGAAGTACTAACCTCAAAACAATGGTAAGAAACAATTTGATGTAAAAATGTCACCTTTGGAAAAATGTGGCTTATCCCTATCTTGCCCCAAGACATTCATATACAGAATGAAAATATTATGTGTACAGGTAATAATAAATAAGTTTGCAATCGTTTTAAACAGATAATTTTTTTAGATAAAATCCATTGATCTATGAAATGACATTTGTACTGAACTTGATTTTTTTTATAAAATAAAATGTTATCTAAAAGTTAAAAATTTCATTATAATGGTGCATTTAAGAAAAATGTACATTTTACTTTGAGTAGCCAATTTGTAGATAAAACAAATTCTTTAAATTTCAAACATTTCTTTCTTAATTTCTTAAATGAATAAAGTAATATGGTTAAATTAATTTAATGACATAAAATGATAAATTTATCACAAGAATTAAAAGTATAAATAGTAAGTATAAAACAGATTTTCAAGAATCAACCTGTTCACGTATCAGATGTTGAGGGTGATGAGATGGAACAAGGTGAACTACCCCTACTACCAGAACTGCTAGCATTTATTGTGCCACATTCTTTAACTGTACTTGTACCTGTTTCTGTTTCTTTTTCATCCTGTTCTTCTTCTTCATCAAGAACATTGATACTAGATGCTATAAATAAAAGATAAAAATTATATTTTGAATGATAGTAACTATTTTGAAAAAGCAACCATCAAAAATCAGTTCAAGAAAATTAGTTTCAGTGAATTGGAGCATCTGATTAGATTGAATACAAAAAATTTATACATACCCAAACAATTAAAATAAATTATCCATCTTGTCAATTAAAGGTCACAGAAAAAAATTCTATTAAAATCTAGCTTTCTATTTACTGATTTATAATAACACCCTCATACTTGGCTAGTATGACTCAGACGAATAAAACTCAGACGAAATTTGTGTTCATTTAGGATCCACTGGTAACTAACAGGTTGCACCACAAAAAGGTATGGACTGAACTTCAAAGTCCTAGTAGAATCAAGTTCCACAACAGTGATTGAAGGGTCTTGTCATTTTTAAGAAATGGGCTCTATTACCCAATCTATAAATACCAGTAATGCAACTAGATTTCAATAAATTTGGAAATTACAAATTCCTAGGAACAAAAAAAGCTGGTCTTTTTTTAAAAAATAATAAACACAAATCCCTATTTTTTTACTTTATAAATATGCGTTAAAAACAACAATTATGATAAGAAAAAATTAACAAAACTAGAGTTAGTAAATGATTTTCTTATTTAATAAAATTAAATCCAAAACTACATATCATCAGCTTCCATTAATATTTTTCTAAGAAAATAGTAATATTTTTCTAATAAAATTAAGTACATTTGTAAGCATTTTCCTATATACACAGTTATATTACTGATTAGGTAATTTAAAATAACACTTATCAAAGAGTAGAATGCAACACACATCACTGAAAACTGACTATCATGTACTAAAAGAAAATGTTTAAAAAAAACAATGCAACAAAAAAAATGAGAAAATTCTTTCAAAAAAAATTAGATGATTTAAAAATATATTTGTTGGTAGTTAACTACGGAAAAAAAATTCTAAAAATAAATAAAAGGAAATTTAGTAATAAGTCTAAAATAAAAAGTCCTGTAGTATAAAACTAGTCAAGAACCGTAATTATTAAAACACAAATATTCAATTCAAAAAACTAGGAATTTAGTAATTAAACCTGAATTTATGTGAAGATGCACTGTTCTCCCTAAGTGTTTTTTAAAGGGTAGTCCACCCTACTTGCCCTTTGATTCCAATAAATGTGTTCTCTTTGCCATTTCTGTAAAAATAAGCCACCATCCCGTTAAAACAATGTTTTTTTATTCAGATTCCATTTTGAAACAATTTAGTCATTGTTTTCAAATAATAACACACTAGTAAAAGTATCTGAATTTATAGGTTTAATTCTGATTATGATTACAAATTAACTTTGTTAGGATTATTCTCAACTGGTTATATTTTCATAAGTATCTTTTATCGGAGGGTATTAATAATTTTTTAAGTGATTTTAAAACTAATATTTGAAATAAGTACCTTTAATTTTTTAAAAAGAAAGCATCTTTAAAGTTAATTTTCTAATAGTTTTCAGTTTAAATTATAGAAAAGAGCTTTCAAGTTGTTTATCAATTAATCTTTTTTTGCTAGTTGACTTTTTTTGGAAGAAAAAAAAATACAGCACTTAATTATTTTCATAAACTATGATTTTTCTCTCAATTTGATAATGAAAAAGAATTACCATTTGAAATATAATCATAAAATAGTATGAGAGGATAATTTAAAAATTGTTGAGCATAAAATTCAGTTATTATATAATATTACACATTTTGATAAATATTTACAGTGTTAAGCGAATGCCCTTTCAAAACTCAAAGTGCCCTTTTCAGAAAGGAAGAGCCCTATCCATTTTAATTCCTAGGGAGAACTCTGGAAGATGCATAGGATAGAAGTATTTTTAAACAAAATACTGCATAAAAAGTAAATTATATATCTTGTTTTTTCTCAATACTAAATTTCTATGTTACCAGAGAAGGCTTCTGTATATTGTTGTGATAACTTCATCTTTAGAAACCTAAAAGGAAAGAGTTCAATTTTAAGTTCAAAAAATATTGTATGTTATACACACAAATAAATTAGTAACTAGGCATTATATTATTTTAAGTAAAAATAAACTCTTTAAAATAAGCTCTTCTTAACTCTTTATTTTATATAACATTTAATTTTTGATTTAATAACATTAACTTTTAAAACACATGTGGAAAAATTTTGCAGTGATAATGAAATGGCAAATATATTTAGTTTCACCAGAAACGAAATACTTTATAACATCTTGATAAACAATCTTTTTGAATTATACATGTTCAAAATCTTTTTAAATCACATTAAGTAAGAAGCAAATAATGAAGTAGAAACAATTTTAACTACCAGAAATAATTTTCTGGAAAAAGCATGGATGCTGTCAGCTTTGTTATTTTGTCTTCAATCTATATGGTCAATCGAACATAATTGGAAGTTATTTTCAGCAAAATTATATGACATTAGTTCTTCTAAAAATAGCAAATAAAATGTATAAAAACAATAATCTACAGTTAATATCATTTTAAGTTGTTACAAAAAAAAATTAAGTAAATTTTCATACAAAAAGAATACTACTCAACAGAAAAATAAAAATGATTAAAATCATTCGTTTACAGTATAAAATTATTTATATACTAAACAAAAAATATAACTGTTTACACAATACAGTCCTTTTCGTAGGCGTTTTTATCAGGGCATTATGCCCTGCCTGCCCTTTGATGGCCCTCTTTGCAAAAATAATCCACAATGACTTAAAAACACTACCTTTTTATTCATATTACATTTTTTAAAAATTAATTCACTGTTTAGATTATAATTACACACTGATAAAATTATCTGAGTTTATAGGATTAATTCTGATTATTATTACTAATATTTATTTTGTTACAAAAATTTAATCAGTTAAAAATATTATTCGAAACTGGTTAAAATTTTATGAGTATCTTTTTCGGGGGCTATTAATGATTTCTTTAAGCGATATTAATTTTTAAAACTAATTTTTTAAATAAATAACTTTTTTTAAAAAAAATGCATCTTTAAATGTTCATTTTCAATAGTTTTCAATTTAAATTATAGAAAATAGCTCTCAAGTTGTTTACCAATTGATCATATTTTGCTAGTTTAGTTCGGGAAGGTGGAGTATATTAATAAACTTTTTATGTAATTTTAAAATTTTCTAAATAAATACCTTTTTTTAAAAAAAAATTAACTCTTAAATGTTTATTGTCTCATAATTTTCAGATAAAATTATAGAAAAAAGTTTTAAAGTTATTTATCATTTAATAATTTTTTTAGTTCACTTTTTTCGAAAAAATTTGCGCACAAGGTGCATAGGTTGTCTTTAATTATTTTTTGTAAACTACAAATTTTTCTCTTATTTTAATAATGAGTGAGTATCACTCTTTAAAATACATATATAAAATAATATAAGAGTGTCATTTAAAAAATGTTGAGGATGAAAATAAAGTTTTACATAATAGACTATCTACCAAGTATTTGGACACCTATGCCAATTACTATATCTGCAGTCCTGAGATGCGTCACGCCCTCCTGGCCCCGTGGCAGAAACACGGCGACACAGCGACATTGTCGCAGAAAGCGACTGAGTTCTTGCAGAAAGATTTTTTTTATTTGGGAAATAAAAATTTTTGGTTTGCCACAAACAAAAGTTCTCAAAATAAATTCTGCAGAAACAGAAGCTGTTTTACCAACAAAAAAAATCNATGTGCTTCCTACATTATGGCAGTTTTACGGGGTGAACCCCTGTTACTTCCAGGACGACAATGTCAGCTGTCATGTTGCGAGGGTCACCAAGGCTTGGTATGGTGCCAATGGGGTTAATCGAATGGACTGGCCTGCCCAGAGCCCAGACCTGAACCCTATTAAGAACCTCTGGAATGAGATGGATCGCCGAATTAAGGGGTGTACTACCCGTCCAAAATCGGTGAAGGAACTTACATGTCTTCTCCAAGCCGAGAGGAAGAAAATATTTCTCCAGCCATCATACAAGGACTTGTGGAAAGTATGCCTCGGAGGGTTCACGCTGAAATTGCCTCCCGTGGAGGTTCTACCAGGTATTGATTATGAATGAAGTTTGTTCTTCTTTTCAATCACACATGTCAAAATATTTATTGGTAGATAGTGTATTACACATTTTGATAAATTTTTACTATGTTAAGTAAGTGCCCTTTCCTGTAATGAAGCACCCTGACCTTTTTTATTCTTAGGGATAACTCTACATAATAATCACTAAGATAACTAAAAAAATGTCAACACTATTATCAGTTTCTTCTCAAGGATTAACATACCTTATCCTTCTGAAAACAGACTCTAAATCTTTTTTTAAATCAATTAGAAAGGTTTTTTGTTTCTTTAATTCTTTACTAGCACCAAGGTAACGACTAGTTAGAAGGGAATTGCAGTTTACAAGCATCTCATTTGTTTTTTCAAACCGAGATAACCTTAAAAAGAAAAAAAAAACAATTACACAAAAATCAGCAAGCAATTTCAATCTTAAAATAAACAATTATAAAATAAAAACCATTATTAAATTTTTATAGAGTCAGTCACATTATCCATTCAAATATGCAGCAAAACAAAAGGAACTTATAAAAAAATTCTTGAAAATCAAGAAAATACATCACGAGCATTAGTGTAACTACAAAAATTTTATAGGGTAGATAGATTGTGATCGTGAAATATATAATAGGGTTTCAACGGAAGGGAAAATTTCTTAAAGTAGTAGCAAAAGTGAGATAAATCTAAATGTTTTAAATATATTTTTAAATTTAAGAAAATATATCTGCATGCAAAAAAAATACCTCGGATAGTTTCTTATTTCTCAAATGAAAGCTAAATTTAAGTATTTTTCAGTAGTCTTGAAAAATCTTAGATACCACTAATTTTTTTTTTCAGGTTGTGAGAACCCTGAATAAATTAAAACCCGTATAAAATTTTATTAAAAATAAATAAAATTTAAAAAAAAAATCTGTGTAAACCCTGCATAAAATTTTTAAAAAGTTTTTTTTAAGAAAATAGATTTGACTGCAAAAAAATGCCTCAGATTATTTTCGTAATTTTAAAATAAAAGCTAAATTTAGGATTTTTCAGTAGCTTGGAAAAATTTTAGATACCACTCATTTATTTGCTTCATGTTGTGGAAACCCTTTATAATTATTTTTTTAATATTAGTAACTTAAAATTAATATTGATAAATTCTTATTTTTTTAGGATGATCAATTAAATTTCTAAATTCAATCAGGAACACCCCGGCAACTATGGTGCTATGCCAATCATCACGAGAAAAGTGATCTTTAACATCGACAAAAAAAGAAAGAAAAATTCAATTACTCACAAAGCAGTTAAAATTTCTAGTGTTTGTAACCCTGTATGCACAAAAATTATTTTTATGACTAAACAACCAATCAGAATTTTAAATAAACTGCTCTTAAATTAACTAATGAAAGACTGTAGAATAAAAATATGATAAGCACTGTTTACATATTTTTCTGAAGTCTGATAATCAACTTATGAATCAAAAATATATAACTGAAATTTAAATTAGAAATTCATTGTAAAAATAATAATTCCATAAGGCAATATAATAGATAATAGAATAAGGATCATAACATATAATAGTTAAGGTAATAGAATAGCTATAATATTATTTATTTGAAAAACAATAGAGGTAGTAGTAATTAAAATTGAAAAATAAACATTTGTTACAAAAGGGAAAAACAAATAAGCCTTTAATTCACATTTTAATGGTACACAAATATATAGGTACAGTTCTTTCCTAACAAGTAGACATTTAAGTTAAAAAATCTTTGAGGAAAAAAATTACTTCTTTAACCTATTTATTTTAGAATTTCTTACATTTTTGCTAAATATTTATGCACTTAGAAGAGAAAGACAAAAAATGGAACATAACTGATAATTGATGTTTTTTTAATGCATGAGCGAGCAACATAACTATTAACATTGCATAGTTTAATAAAGAACTGAAAGTGCAATTAGAAACTTATTTTAACAGAGCTTTTACTGTATTTTAGCAGTTTGTAAAATTAGGATTTTTTTCCTTATTAATGAAAGAGAAGTATCAGTATTAGTATTTGCCACAAAAAAATATATTTTGCTTACTTCCAAGCTGTGGCATTTAAGAAATTAAAAAACAAAACTAATTATAGATCTTTCTTTTTAATTTATTCTAAATTAAATAACCAGACAATTTCACTACATACATTTCTTGTTTCATAACAAAACAAGATTCTTTAACACTATCGTTACAGTGTTTTAGTCTTTCATTACAATACCAATTTATTTATTAAACTGAAATTCAATACAAAAGAATTTCAAAAACAAATAGCTATACTGAATCCTTTTAAAAACTAACTAAGCTCATTATTTAGCAATCTAGATCAATTATAATTAAGTTTCATACCAGTAGGGCGACATGACAAAAAGTGTCACCAAATGTTCTTCAAGTGAGGCTAAAATCATATGTAAGGGCGACAAATTTGTCATCCTGAAATATGTTTGGAATTAACAAAATAGTAATGAAAAATAGTTTTTTTTAATCGAATTCCATGCACCCCAAAAAAAATTTTTAATTAATTTTATTGTTCTATGCATGGAATAGAATTTAAATGTATGGTATTCAAATGGATTAACAGAAAGTGTCTAATACAAAATTTCTTAAATTTAAATGTTTAAATTTCAAATTTTTTGCATTCATGAACTGGCAGTTAATCAGTAAAATATAATATTTTTCTTTTAAAATTGACTTTAATTGAAATTTAATAATGTTTAGATAATTAATTTTTAGTGTCATATTTTGTCAGTTCTTACTTTCTCTGCTTTTTGTTCATTTATTTTGTTTAAGCATTTTAATCTTTATGTTGAATATTTACCAACATTCCAGTTTTTTTGCCCTTAATTTTAATAACTAGGTACTAATCTTCAATTATTATGGGCTAATGAACGTAATTAGTTTCAGGGTGTTATAGATATCAATTAACAATTTTTGATGCGTACTGTAACATGAATTATAATTATAAAGTTCAATTTTTCTCAAGTTTTTCTACCATATATATTTTTTGGACAGACAAATGAATACCTAAGTGGTCCTATTAGACCACTAAATTTCATTGCTGGCGTAAATCCTAATTATAAATAAATTAGGGAGCACGACAATAAAAGAAAAATACAAGCATTCACAATGAGAATATAACTTGAACCATTAGGCTTACATGTGTTTTTGAGATTGTATAATAGCACAAATATCATCCTCATTAACTTGATGCTGCAAAGATTGAGTGAAAGCAACAGGAGCTGATAATTTATTAATGTGACTGGAATTTTCTGCAGCATTACTTTCTTTCAAATTGTTTGAACTCATTCTGAGTTGCAAAAATTTATACAAAATTTTCCACAAAATATCTATGCCAACATTATCTTAGATTAAAAAAAAAAAGTTTAGTTTCTTTTTCCGCTAACTTAGCAGATAATATGAAAAGACTCCAAGATATAACTTATCGTATTTTTATCCTGTCAAGTTCTGTTTGTATTTATGTATATCTTGGTAAGCTTCTGTCTACCTATTTTTGTCCGCGCAAGATTTCAGAAATAAGCCAAAAATCAAATTTGAAGTCTCAACCCCGTTTTTTCACACTGCGTGCGAAATTAGAGATGCGGAGGAGTAGGAGCAGAAACGTAACGTCAAAATGACGTCATTTTTCTCTTCCTAGCTCGTTCGCTTAATTTCGCTTCCTAGCTCGCTTAATTTCACTAATGATATTCTCAATAGCGCCTCCAAATTTGTATACGTGATTCTTTCGCTTCTAAAGGAGAAAAATTTTCTTATCTTTTGAAGATGGAGAAGATAGATAGGCTACGATCTGGAAAACATCCGTGGAGGATAGTCCGACGACGTGCCGTAGCAGTTTTGATCCTCTGCAGAGGGGATGACTCCCCTGCTGTGGTTCCCCCAACGACCTACGGGCGAAGTCGAGCACTTTACGCTAGAACAGTGTCCGATTCCACGCACCTTCGGTCCCTGCACAAGTTGATCAAAGTGGTCAACCCCCAGCTTACTGGTCGCAGCCAGTGATGCTTGACTACAGTGTTTAACTGGGAATCGTGTCTTTAATTGTTGTTGTTGTTGTTGTTGTTGTCTTTACTATATCGTGTCTTTACTATCAGTCCACTGAGGTTGCGGGGCAAGATGGAGAAGGATAAAGACAAATACACGAGGACAGAAAAAACGCATCTGAAAGTAGTCTTCTGATGAAGCCTAAAAAAAGACTTGTCAAATTTACACCACATGATTGACATTTATTTGAAATTATTTTTGTTTTCCTCTTTACAAAGAAAATAAACAAAAATTACAAAATTTCCTTTGCAATGTTATTATTATTGTTTTAAATGTAATTTTACATTAGTCATCGATTGAATACCCCTTACCACACCCGTCTACACGTTACTGCAACGACAACTGTAGGACAGGGTGTCCCGAAATTAACGCAAGATTAAAATTTTGTGACACAAAAAGCTAATCATATCACGTATTATTTCCATTCATATAATCAATATTTTATAAATTGCATTAAGAAAAGTGATGACTTATTTATGCGATTTTACTACATTTAGAATACTTATTCCTGATTTTCTCTCTCTACCAATTTATATTGTTTTTTATGTAATGTAGGTAAGCTCGTTTTATATTTTTTACAGATGTGTACAAATGGATGAAAAAGAAGCTCATTAATTGGAAAAATTGAGATAGTGTGAGTTGAAATTCCATTAGGTCCAAACACACATGAATATATAAATTATACAAATAGAATTACAAATATTAAAATATTGCAATTGTGAATAATATTCTAAATTATCTTTAAATTACGATCACATGAAACAGTAGATATCGAAAATACCCAGATTTGTACATATATATGTAGTGATTTATAAATAAATAAATAAATGAAAAATAATAATAACGATGAAGATAAGAATTCTTTTGTAGAACTCAATCAAAAACAAAAAAAAGCCAAAGTAGGAAATTGTGAACTAGTCACTTTGGTGTGATGAAAAGAAATGTACTGTCCCATTTTCTATCTCTTACTTTTAACAATTTTACTTACTTATTATTACATAAAGAATTAATAGCAATTGGTGGACTCTTAACAATTTTTTGCACCGTTGAAACTAAAATTGGATAAATGAATAGGTGTCGAAACTTCCTGTATTACACTAAGATGTACAAAAAGAAATAATAATAATAAATAAATAAAATAAAAAGGATACATATTAGATATCCCAGATCAATATATAAACGAAGAAAAAATCGAACAAATCACTATTGAAAAATGTGTGAGTACAAAACCTGTTTCAGGGGGACAGAAAGTATAGTTTATAATGATTATTAAAAACTCGCTTAAATTTCATCAAGTAATACAAAAATAGCTTGTTTTGATACTTCAACGAGTGTTTCAATAGATTTCAATTGCGTTTTTGTTCCTTCTTAGCTTAAGTATTTGAGCCCTTATGTGTATTTTCTTTTTTTTTTTTCTAGGATTCTAAAACTAATGCAAATGGAATACAGAATACGTGCTTACATCATGATTTGCAGTCTGGAAGAGCAATAATTCTTCTAATCAGTAACTTTTTTAAGCATTTTATCCCAAATTTGACTGTGGAGGAAGAATCCTCAGCTTTACAAGAGTCATTTAACAATGCGACTTATTTACAGTTTTCCGTTGCTTTGACGAGTAATGTCACAAATACTTAGGGGAGAGTCCGGTAAGACCGGGTACCCCGATTGTGTGGAAACTCTGAATTACATTTTACTAGTCAAGAAGAAGGACCTACTATTTTGACAGGCCATGTAGATACGTTTGTTTTACTATGTCAACTCTTTAATGTTCTCTTGTTTTTAAGCTATCCCTATTTATTGGTAATTAAAGTTATAAAAATTATGTTTAGTCTAGCGTATTATATGTTTATTACATATCCATACCCTAACAAACAATAAGGATTTAGTCCACTTGTAGCACTGTTCTGTTTCGTTTTGATAATCTCTGCTCGCGGGTTAAGACCGGGTACTACCCGGTCTTGCCCTTCCCCTTGATGTATATTTATGCAAGGCCCACGAAAGCTGCAATGCAGCGAAGGCGAGATTTAAATACATTAAAGGCCTAACAAAGGCTTTACGGGTCCAGGACACAAGAAACAAAATGCCTTATTTTCATATTTTGTAGAATTTATGAAGACCCTTTATAGAAAATTGGAAAATTGTAGATTTTCTATAGATATTAAGAATTTTCTTTAATTTTCTTTAAAAAAAAATTAATGAAGACTTTATTTTTGCAAGAAATTTTGGTCGGACTCTTAGCAATCCCGGGGCAATTGCCCTCCCCTGAAGACAGTTGACAGAATTCTAGTACTTCTAAATTTCCAATTGTCCCGTGAAAAGGCTGTGGCAGAATTTAGACCTGCGGTGGGTCATGACTGTCTTGCGGACCACCTCCACCGCATTGGTATTTTTACGAGTCCGAATTGCCCACTCTGTAAGAAATTCGAAGTAATGGATAGGGAGCACTTGATGGAATGTTCTGCTGTACACGGAGACTCCGAAGTGAGCAGATATTGGAGTGCTAGGCATCTGCTAATGAGTCATTGACTTTTTTCTCTTATCTATGGTTATTCTTCTTGTTAAGAGTTTGTCAATCTCTGCCATTGGAAATAAGAAATAAAAAAAATTTTAAAAATATAATAATAATAATTTCCAATAGAGTTAAAGTGTGTTACCCAGTGGAGTATTTTGACATTTTTTTTAGAAAAATCTAATTATAAAAAAAATTGTACATAATGATTGAATCGATACATTGTAAACAGTTGATATCTTTGTAAATTTTGACCCTTATCACATTGATCAGTTTTCGAACAGACGTTCAAATCTTAGTTTCCTCTTAACCTACCTTCCCATATTTACCAAAATTAATGTTCAAATAGATCACTTAATAATGTTTTTTACGCTTGTTATAGCTGTTAGTGTTATGTAAAACTAATTGTTGCAAGAAAAATTTTATAATGGCATCTAATATAACGATCAAGCAGATAGTTAAATACATTGTTTAAACTATTTACATCTGATAATTGTTGCTGTTTATTCTTAGTTTCTAAATTACGTAAAATTCATTATTACTAGAAAGCAGTCTATTTATAATAAAAAATTGCAGTCAGATTTTTGTTGTTTTATAATCAAGTCATACAATTAAAATTTTAATTACAGTTAGACCGTAAAATTTTTATTGCTCTATATTTCTTTGATTAATTAGACTTTTCTTGATTGTTCTGAAATGTCCGGGTTACCAGGTATATTTTAATTTATTCTATATTTTTAGATGTATACATAAATTAACTGTTTACCTTTAGGAACTGGAAGTTTTGATTATTAGATTTTTTTCTCATCAAAAGGGCTGAAAAAAAGATTATCTTTGATAAATAATTGGAGTTGCAATTTCCATAATACTGAAATATCTTGAATAATTAGTAAAATTGTATGTAGTTTTTTATATATTTTTTTATTATTTCTCATTAGCTTTTGTTCTGGTTTTTTCCGAACTTTCAGAAGCAGGATTTCCTGCATCAAAACACCGTTTTTCCCTTGTTATTGTGCATAGTAGGAAACTTTTGGTACAATTTTCCCCAGGCGGGGTTCAATACCGGGAATGCTAAATCATAGTATGGAATGATAGAACAAGTCGATGTAATGAACAATTAGTCATATTTTTATTTTGTGTCAGCGACATAACTTTTAACAGAGCTTATAGCCAAAACTTAAATATTTTCTACAACTTTGGTAAGAATCTAAACAAACACTGATTTCAAAACGAGTTTTTCGCTCCCACACAAAGAAGCAAACAAAGTTTCTTACGTAACAGAACCGACAGAACATAAAATAGAACCGACTGAACAAGTAATAAAAGTTGAGAAAGATATTCACAGAGAAAATGAAATGACGAACGCGTGGTGTCATCAAACTATTACTTACTGTGAGGAGGGTATTTCACTGTTTGGTCAATATTTGAGCAATCTTTGCAGTATTGCATATAGTCTGTCTAACTAAAGAACCCCCATAGAGTCTGTGGTTGTTTGTCGCTATGGGAACAGAAAGATAAGCTTTTGATACTTTTTTGCCAACCTCGGTCAAAACTTGTCCTAAGCGCTTACCCTACATCCTTACTAGAAATAGATCAACTTTGTAACTATTGTCATGGACTCAACTCCAGCAGATAACTGGCAAAGGAAATTCGTTAGATAGAGAGACCATACACAACAATTAGCGAATTGAAATATTCCCTTCGTGTTTCTTCCATTCTTTTAACAGCTTGTTGTTGTTACACATCCCCTGGAGAAGGAAAGCCTAGACCAGGTCCAGAAGGCCCCGTCGCGTCAGTTCCCCATATATCTGCAGAAAGTCCCGATCAACCAGCAGCTGCTTATAGGAAGCACCAAGGCAAAAAAGGTGATAAGGAGTAGCAGGTTGTGAGCAGGAACAAGGTTAAAAAGTCTTCTCCCCATCTTGAAACCTTAAACACTT